GTATTCTGTAAATTCTGGGCTTTACCATTCATCCCCACTGACCTCTCACTGGAATTAGTCTGTGTGTCTTCTCACTATGTGCAGGAAGAAGACAGAGTATAAACAGGCTGGTAATTGGTGCAATCTGCATACTCATCCCAGAACACATTCTAGTGGCAGGATACTGTGGCTACCACCAGATGGCAGTGCCTCTCTGTCAGAAAGGTGGGGGCCGGGGTTGGAGTTGGGGGAATGTGGTGAACCAAGCCTGTCTCTGACTGGCTAAGCAAAAACCTGAGACTCTGGGGACAAAGATTAATATAAACTCATCAACCAGAACTAAATCTTCTGCACTAGGAACCAGGCCCCACTTCAGGGTACAGCACAGTGTCTCCTGTGACATCAATAAAGGAAGAAGAATGAACAAATTTCTGCGAGTGTCTTTGGTGACCCTATGGCTTCAACTGGCCAGTGAGTTGGTGTTGGTAGTGACAGGGATGGGGAGACCTAAGTTCAGAGGCCATATGAATGAGAAGTGTCTGTTGGAAAATGCAATTTGAAAATATAACTACTGACTCCTGTCCTCTGGCCTGTGCTTCTATGCAGGGGTAAAGAGTCAACAGGGAAAAGAGACTCCTCAGGCTCTGAGCATCCAGGAAGGTGTAAATGTCACTGTGAACTGCAGTTACAAAGCTTATTCAACAATTGTACAGTGGTACAGACAGGACACAGGCCAAGTCCCTGTCATGCTCATCTTAATGCGTTCAAACGAGAAAGAGAAACAGAGTGGAAGACTGAGAGCGACCTTGGACACCTCCACCCAGAGCAGTTCCCTGTCCATCACTGCTGCCCGGCCTGAAGATACTGCAGCATACTTCTGTGCTACAGATGCACAGTGTGCAGCCAGCACCTGCAGCCCTGACACAAACCCTCAAAGCTGCTTCCTAGACCCCTGTAGTGGGTGGAACTGTGCTTATGTTGTCCCATGAGTGTCTGCTTATAACTGGAAAAAAGAACCTATTTAATTGTGTCATTTCTCTTTGTTTGTTTGTTTTCAGCTCCTTGGGCAGACAAGAGAGAAATAGGATGCTGAAATGCCAGGGATTGCTTTGTATTTCCTAGCCATGTGTCCTGAGGCTCAACATCAGTGCAACCTCTCTGATTTCTGCATGTAAACTCCAGGCCACTGCACCTAAGGAGCCTTCAAGGCTTTGGTTTTAATAAGCACTGTATCATTGCTCAGGATGAGAGAAGGTTATATCTGTCCTTTGTGCTGTCTAGATGGCTCCTTGAGAGGCCAAAATCATTCTTGCATCTCTCTAGTTCCAGGACAGTAAGCACGGATCAGACAGTAGACTGAGGAGCCCTCCAAGCACTTTTAATTGTGCCTCTCCTTTACAGCTGGAGATTGGAGCCACTGCACAGTAGGGAGGCCAAGATCTGAATGTCAGAAGAAAAGAACCAAACATCTGAATCATCTGCTGCCTTTAAGAGTTCTGTGATTTTCAGGCCCTGATTTACTCACTGGGAAAATGAAAACCTCTAAGAAAGTCAGTTCCTCATCTATGTGGGGAAGCATGTTCTCTATGGCCACACTCTAATGTGCTCTATGGAAGAAAGAACACTGAAACTGCTAGGAGGGGACATGTATGAAGAACACATGCCTTTTTGGATAGCACATGGGCGAGAATAGCAGCACAACCCAGAGGAGGAAAGCCTGGGCTAGGAAGGAGCAATGGATCCAGGCGATTGGAAGTCTATGGGCTGTGACAAGATCACTCATCTGCCCTTTCCTAGATCACTGCATTCATCCTTGAGAACTAATGATTTCCCCACCTTCTGGTGAGAGTACTCATTCATTACATTTACATGTAACCCAAGAATCCTTCCAAGAGGTGGTTCCTCCCCACACACAGTGTTTGACCATCTCATATCAATCAGTAATCAAGATGTCCCACAAACTTGGTTGCAAGCCAATCTGAAGGAAGAAATTTTTTCAATTGAGGATCCCTCTTTCCAGGTGCCTCTAGTTTTCATCAAGTTAAAAAAACCTAACCCACACAAGACTTTTTCCTATAGTGTTTGTTTCATTAGTGTGTTAATGTGTTGTTAAAGTTCAGAGAAATGATCCCACACATGCATATAGTACAAACTGATGAAATCTTTCCTTCCCTTTTTGGGGACTCCTCCCATACCAAACAGGCTTTCAGGTCATATTTTTTTAAACATCCGGGAAGAACACAGCACACTTTCATGATTATTGTTTTGCAGGGCAGATTGGGGAGGAGGCTCTGGCTTCTTCCACGTAATGCCCTCCAGATCCACCAGTTTTGCTGAAAAAAGACAATTTTATTCATCTTTTTGGCTGAATTATGCAAATTTTATCTGTCCATTTGCTGATGGCAACCTAAGTTGACTTTATATCTGAACTGCTATGACTAGAGCCACGTGTGTGTGTGTGTGTGTGTGTGTGTGTGTGTGTTTGTGTGTGTGTGTAACTAACGTATGCCAATTTCATCTTCTCTAATTGTGCTCGCAGAATTAGGATAAACAGTGGTCCTGCTTTTGATTTTCTGAAGCATTTCACACACTCTCTGTGGTGAGGTGGCTCTATTTTCAACTGCATGAGCATCCAAGGAATCACTATATATATATATGTATATATATATGTATATATATATACATATATATATATCCTCATCAGCACCTATATCTTAACATGGTGAGTGATCTGGTGTCTAATTGTAGCTTTGTTTTACATTCCATCAATGGCTAATGACCTTGACTATTCTTTATCTACTCCTTGGTTATCTGTATTCTTCTCTGTTCTGTTCAGATCATCATTTATTGTGTAGCTTCTTTTTATTGTTTTCAGATTAATCCTGTGACAGATTTCATTCGATTGGAAAATAATTTCCCCTACTCTGTATGTTGCCTCATCTCTACAGATTGTTTGAATTCTATGCAGAACCTTTTTAATCTGATATAATCCAATCCCTATTTTTCTTGCATGAAATCATATTTCAATTACCTGGATGACTATCCTAGGAAAGAACATCCTTCTTGATTTGGGTCTGTTATTATACAATTTTCAGCAAACTAAGGACAAGTGGGATAATGACATTTCACAAATCCATGCATCATTGATGTTTCTGTTGGTAAAGCTTTCAGAACAGCCTGAATATGACTCCAGTTACAGCCTACTGAAGGAAAACTCTAAGGAATCTGAACTGTTCACAATGTCACTATTGTCTTACCACTGAAAAAGACTACTCATTATTTATATGTGTAAAACTGAAATTCAATAGACATACAATAACTAATATTAAAGGCACAACATATACTTTGCTGAGATGACATTTTGTGTCTTTGTCAAAATAATAACATTGTGTACTGAAGATTTATTAAAGAACTCTTGAAGTAGTTTTAAAATTGCAAAAAAAAACTCAGAAAAACTAGTTACACATTAGTTCTTAAAAAATATATGGGGTGGTCCAGGCAAGACAGAAGACAGGTAGGGAAGCATCTAATCAAGGGGTACATAGATGGCTCCGAGAAAATAGTGACCATATATTAAGAAGAGATCTCAGAACATGCTTTGCCATGCTCACAGTAAGCTGTAAGATGCTTAAATTATCATAAAGGTAGGTAGGATGGACCTTACATTCATAGACTGGGGAAACAAGGAATTATTTTTCTCTGCACGTCAAAGAGATTACAAGGTAATACCCACTCTTGTGGCCTTAGTTACCCTAGTAAACTCTGCGGAATTTTTGTTGTACCCTTCTTGCACTCCTACCCAGACTACATTGTCATCCTTCTCTGTTATCTGAAACTTAAGATACAGGATAAATTACTACATCCAGAGAAAACCATGCTGCAGTACAGAGAGGAACCAGAAGGGGGAGGTATCCCTCTAAGCTGCTGATAAGTCACCATAGGTAAAGACACCACACACTTTGGACACAGGACTCCAAAGATTGGAATGGATCTAACATGAGATTCTTTCTCCCACAGTCTGCCACTCCTGGTACAAGAAGGTGCTATGTAAGCTACCAAGAGAGGGAAGCAACCAATAGCCCTATCTAGCTCTGACACCTATGAACCACAACAATAAACAGCATGACAAGTTATCCCTATCTTGCAACAGTGGTACTCAAACCTTGGTGGTAATCAACAACTTTTAATGGGACTTAAAACCTGCTAAACAGGAAAGAAATTGTGCCTGATACTAGACACTTAGTCAAGTACCTGGGGCTAGTGAGTTTATAGATCTTAGAGGAGAGTATACTACATATACTACGTCGACTTTACTAGAGTAAAATAGTTTTCAATACATCATGCTACAGACAAGGATGCCAGCATGGAGAAACGGTAAAATGTCTGGTTTGCTGATATGAAAGATGGAGGTTTTAAGAGTCCCTGAATGTGACAAAGTCATGGCACCTTGTCATTCAATAAAATTTTGTGAATTTACTTTTGTTCATTCTTGTAAGTATGAAATATACATACATGCAGATAGAAAGACAGATTCTGTGTGTGTGTGTGTGTGTGTGTGTGTGTGTGTGTGTGTGTGTGTGTATTATTCCTTCTGTTATTTGACGTGGTAAACCTATGACAGATTTTGTTTCTTTGGGGACATGATGTAAAAAGTTTAATTAAGAAAAACATTTCTCATATAAATTTGCTAATTTCTTTAATAGAAATGTACTCATTCTTGTTAAACTGTCAACCATTTTTTCCTCTAGGAAAAGGGTATACTGATAAGTCCATACAGGAACATGACTATGTCTTCCACCTATTACTAGGTTTCATATTAAACCTTATGTCCTATATTATTCATCAAAAACTGATCTGAAAATCAGACCATGTTGCTACTGATGGCTTCTGGCTCACTATAATGAGACCAACAGATAGATCCTCAAGTATTCTCCCACACCTATACAGGAAGGTGTGAAAGGGCCCCATAACTGCCTACTGCATTTCCTGTTGGGGCGCTTGCACTTCATAGACGAGTAACTGTGTTTGTTCCTCTTGAGCACAGGTACAGATTAGGAACTGGGTTGGGACAGATCATAGAAAATATCACTCAAGACAAGAGCTAACAGTATGCTGATCCTTAGTCTGCTGGGAGCAACCCTCAGCTCCATTTATTTTGGTAAGTATGTTACCCAGCACAGGATCAAGCCCTTATCCCTCAAGGTCATAGGGAGAGGAGGTCATTGTCCTCTGCTGAGGCTCAGAAGAGAGGGATCATCAGAACTCTAATTTACAAGCCACTTCATCCTTTAGACTCCCATTGTTACAATTTAAGGGTTGATGTCTCTGTGCTCTTTCCATCAGCAGCCAGCATGGCCCAGAAGGTGACTCAGGCTCAGACTTCAATTTCTGTGATGGAGAAGAAGACTGTGACATTGGACTGTGTGTATGAAACCCGGGAAAGCACTTACTACTTGTTCTGGTACAAGCAAATGACGAGTGGGGAAATGGTTTTCCTTATTAATCAGGAGTCTTACAAAAAGGAAAATGCAACCAAGGGTCGTTATTCTCTGAACTTCCAGAATTCAGAAAGTTCAATTAGACTCATCATCACAGCCACACAGATGGAGGACTCAGCAGTGTATTTCTGTGCTATGAGAGAAGGCACAGTGGCAGAGCTGTCTACAAGAGCCACACAAAAACCTCAATCAGATGGAGACTCTGAGGAAAGACTCTACAGACAGGGAGAGGCGGGGCCTGTGGCAGCACAGGAGAGGGGCTGGCAAGAAGCCTTAGTTCAATTCATGTAGAATGTCTGTCTTTATCAGTCATGAGAGTGTGCATGTTCAGGGCCTGAATGGGCCTGTACCATGCTCTGCATACAAATCATATCTTAGAGTTTGGTGATTTTATGGGACTCCTGAGTGAGTGAAGGAATGGGTCTCTGAAGCTTGTGCCTTCTCCTGGGCTCTTTTCCTTCTGTTAGTTTTTCTTGTCCAACTTTAATGTGATAGGTCTTACTATAGTTTCTTTTGTTACATTTTGTTGTTGTCTCTTAGAAGCCTGTTCCTTTCTAATGAGATATAGAAAAAGATGGATCCAGATGGGATGGGAGATGGAGAGGAACTGGGAGCCAGATCAGTGGTGCACATCTTTCATCCCAGAACTCAGAGGTGACCAAAGACAACTTTAAAAGTACCTCCTTATTTACCCACAGTTTGTATCCAGGCAGATCAATAGCACTCAGTCACTTGATTAAAAACTGCTGGGTTAAATGTACAGACCATGCTGAGAAAAAAAGTAAAACACAATTTAATATATCTTCTTAATCCAATGTTGCTTTTTTGAAGTGGGAAAACACTAAATTATCTTCAGACCAAACAAATAATTCTACTCTTACGTTGTTAAACTTGCAAAATCATGTCTGCATTGTTTTATAGAATGCATAACTGTTTAATCAACTTTTTAATAAGATGCCTCTTTCTATAATCATATTATGAAAGCCTTTTCTGCAACAAGAATAAATAGAGAGTATTCCACAAACCTTGTCTTGGCAAAAACTATTTTGAAAACTATGTAAATACGTTGCTCTTATTTGGGAGGCTTCTTACTGAGGGAACATTTCAAGTGGGATTCCTACTAGCCTGTCCAGTGACTTTTCATTATTACACACTGCCAGAATGACAACTACTGTGTCAATGAACAGCAGGTAGTAGAGTGCAGTGTCTATCTTGTGTCTAAACAAATGTGGCTCAGGAGGAGAGGGAGAAGACAGAGATGGGGAGACAGAAAAAGAGGGGAATGTAGGGTGTCAAGGGAGGTGAGAGGAAAATTGGGGTGAGAGCAGGCATTAATGCTTAAGTAATGTGATTCTCATTGAATTGATGTTATGGTTTCTTTCACAAGATATTAACAATGTTGGTTATTTAGTGTGTTAGACTGAGGAAATGTGGAAGATGCTCATGTGATCACTCTGAACTTCGTCAGCTAGCTGGCTCTTCTAGTGACACTGACTAGTCGAGGAGTCAGGTAGGTAGGCTTATGAGTCATAGAGACTCTAAGTCCTCCTTATGACATGACAATAATAATCTGTCCATAGAGGAATAAGGACATTATACCTGGTGATGTCCCTTCAACATCAGAGCCTTAGCTAGTGCTGAGCTACAAATGCCAAGGTTCGCATGTACTCAGAGTAGATGGAGTGTGGCAGTCAGGTTTTTAGAAAGGCATGACCCTGATACTGTGTCACTTGACACAGGGCCTTGTTTTCAGAGACTGAAAGAGGTGATGGGGAAATACAACTGTTCCTCAGAGTAGAGTGGGTGTGCCATCAGGTTATCCAATAGTGAGTGGTTTACATCCAAGTCTTAACTGATTCAGACTTCAAACATGTTAAAAGTGGACAGGCCAATGCACAGAAGACATAATAGGTTGCACAGGCCGCAGATCCAATATCACAGAATGCAAGACACCTGAGAGTTATTCCAACATTTGTAAACAAGGTGATTGACAGTGGACATCAGGCTCCAGACTCTGCTGCAGTCTAGTGAGTTTTCTGTTACTTTAGGGGGTTGCTGAAATTATACACCACCCACCCCACATCTCAGAGCCCTTGATCTTTGCCATCATATCTCCATTTTGTTGTTATGGCATCCCTCACTAGAGCTTTGTGTTAGATCTGTGTCAAGCAGGAGAGGAAATTAAAACCAGTCTGCTCTTTGAGCTGTTTTCCTCCTCCAACTGCCCAGGGTCCTGAACCTTTGCTTCCCTGGCTTTCTATCCTACATCCAGTGTATTGGTATACGCTTTTATTTTGAAAAGACAATGAAAGTAGATAGGCACAAACTACATTTGATGGAAAGAATTTCTGATCCATACCCATTAGCCCTACTGCTTGCCTACTTGTAACCATTGCCTTTGTCTTGCTCTAGTTTGACGGGACCACAACCCATGTGCTTTGTATGCTTGATCTTATTATCATGTTGTTCTAGACGAAAAGGCACAGGCTCAGTAGCTTGGTGTTCCCTGACACCAAACGACATGATAGTACATAGCAGATCTGAAAGGCTGGAGGCACAAGCTCAGTCAGTAAAGTACTTATTGTGTAAATATGAGTGCCCTATTTCAATCCCCAGCACCACCTCCAAATAAAACTAGGCAATACAAATGGGCAGTCCTAAACACACATATATACAAGAAGCACTTACTGGACTCAGAAGGTTGTATTTATATTCATAATGACATGCATATAACATGCATACTGTGTGTGTGTATGTGTGTTTGTGTGTGTATGTAACAATAATAGTTGAAAAAAGAGGGCACGGATTTGACAGGCATGGAAGATCACAAACAGTAGTGGAGAGGAGAGAGAGAGGAGGAAATAATGTAATACTATTTTAATTAAAACCATTTTTTAATAAAGTTAGGGCTGGTGGCAAGTGCTTGCAATCTGAACATTAAGAAAGGAGATTGCTGGCACTCATGTCTAGAGAGCCATCTGAGTCAATGAGCTTCAGCATCGGTGAAAGATCCCATCTCAAAAAATAAGACGTTCATGGAAAAGACATTTAACATAGATCTCTGGCCTATACACATTTGTATCCATGTTCATGTACACATACATATGAATACACATAAAACATGCACACAAGAAGAGTAGGGGAGGGAGGAGACTCCTTTACATAGATTTCAGTCATGTGGTTGCTTCTCACAGTCCCAGCACACTTGAGTGATTCCTCCAGCTAGAACATTAGCCATCCCAAAGAGTATGATCTGGGAATCTTGGGAAGACAGTGAATCTGTCCAGCTCATAAACGGCCAAGCTAAATGTGTCTAGCGAAGGCTCCAGGTACTCAGAGAAGGAAGCTATTAAAGAAAAACAGCTCTGACATACATCAAACATTTGTCCAAAATAGATTCAGCACTGCATAAACAAGCAAAAAAGACAGTAGTCACCCAACAGTCACCCCTCTGTTACATATAATCCACTTTCTCCACTTTTTGAGAAACCACAAAGAAGCTGCTCAGATCTTCCTTTTCTTTCTTTTCTTTTTTTAATTGAATGTGTAGATGTGTATTTACTTCACAGTGCTTAAAAATCCTTTTTTTCCTTTTTTCATCCCCTTCATACAGTCATTGAATTTTGCTCACACATTGCCTTCTTTCTTTCTTCCTTCCATCCTTCCTTCCTTCATTCCTTTCTTTCTTTCTTTTTTCTTTCTTCCTTTCTCTCATTGCCACCCTTTTTCTATTATGTTTTAGCAGTATTTTGTTGTTTGTAATTTTTACTTCCCTTCTCAATTTTATTTAATTTTTAACTTTCTCATTACTGGGATTTTTTCCTTTTCCTTTTGTTGTATTCTAATATATTTCTCTTTTCTCTTTTCATTATAAAATTCACCTCCATTCCTTTTTTATTTTTTTAAATTTATTTAACCTAGTTTCTACTCATTTCTGACTTCCTCTCCTTTCAAGAGTAGACTGAACAAGGGGGATCTCATAGACCCCAGACTGGTGACTGAGAGGCCAGCATGGGACTGATTCAGACCCCCTGAAAGTGGGTGCCATTGAGGAGGCCTCAGCATTCTTTGGGGCTTCTGGCAACAGATCAGCATTAAGCCCTGTCATCCCATCCATATGGACTTGGGAGCCCATTCCCCGGGAGGGAGGCTGTCTCCAGCTGGACACATGGGGGAGGACCTCGGTCCTGCCCCGGATCATATAACAGACTTTCAAGATCCCCCATGAAGGACCTCACCCCCCTTGAAGTGTGGAGTGGGGATTGGGGGAGGGGTTAGAGAAGGGTTGAAGTGGGTGGGAGAGGAAGGGAGGGAGATGGAACTGGGATTGACATGTGAAGCAAACCTGTTTCTAATTTAAATTAAATTAAAAAAGAAGAAGAAAAAAGAGTAGGCTGCTCAATACAAACTCCCCAAATAAAACTGTCAGAGGTATTCAAAATGATATATGTGTAAATAATATCACAAAACAGAAGAGATACAAAAACTACAACTTTATACCCCCAAACCCATAACTGTTGAACTACTAAATTCAACGATGAATTCAATATAGGGCAAACATAAGAAACTCAGATTGCAGGGAGAAAGGAGTCAGTATGAGAAAATCAGCAATGTGAGTGAAAAGTAAGCAACATGAAAAAATTGTGTTGCCATGGATGACCCTACACTCCTACAAGAATGGATAGCACTGATGGCAATTGATTGGTTATCAAGAAAAAATAGAAGGCATAAAGTTAGGAAGGGAATATTGGGAGCTGGAAGTGGTGAGAATTGGAGGATGAAATGGGGGTATATATGATACATAATCATGTTTTATTTCATATGTGTAGGAACTTTTCAAAGAACTTTTCTAAGTGAGTTATATATTGAAACATCACACACAGTACTCAGAAATGAAGTTCATTCATTTGTTATTATATTGATTGGTACAACAGGGACAACAGTTGTTTTTATTTTATGAAGTTGAAAATCTTTTCTCAGAAGCTATTTTTATAAAAATATCCTTTTAAGTAAAGTATGAAATGAGTAAAGATCACTGAAATTATTAGTTTAAAAGAAACTTACATGAATAAAAAGATTTGTGTTGAATAATAATGATAACACTACTAATGATGATGATAATAAAAACAACAGTAATAAGAGGAGGAGGACATTCATAGACCATGATCTCATTGTTTTCATTCTAGGGATGCAAGTTTACCTTAGTGTAGGTAATTCAATTAATTCACTCAATATATAAGCTTAATGACAGAAATAACTACATTATTTTGGAAAAGGCTTAAAACACCTTT